CCAGGGCTGATTCCTGCAGGTTTTCACCCTTTTTTTTGCTCCTTACACAGCTCCTCCAACCCTTGTCTTGGAAAGAAGCTGCTGTTCTTGACCCAAAAAATGACTTTTATAACCAAGGAGTGACCATGAGGAGTTAAAAGCTAAACTAAACACGGTGAGGTTGTTTGTGTAATTTATGTCACCTCCCCCAGCTCCAACAATGGGCACAGTGTGGAACTGGCTCTGCCAGCACGGACTGGGATGGGGCTGATGATCTTTGGATTTATTGGACACTCAGGAAGGAATAAAAACCTCCCCAGGCTTTTCCAGCACCTCCATGACCTCGAGATAAACCTCCAACGTCACCTTTCCCAGCTCAAGGGATACCAAAGGTGAAGTTAAGGAAAATAAACACACGGGAGGGGATTGGACTCACTCCACACGGTCCTTCTTTACCTCTTTTCCTTATCCTGGGCTGATCCCACAGCCTGGGCAGCAGGGGAGGGGGAATTCTGCCCCTCTGCCCCATTCCGGTGAGACCCCACCTGCAGAGCTGCTCCAGCCCTGGAATCCCCAACATCAGAAGGATTTGGAGCTGCTGGAATGAGTCCAGAGGAGGCCACGGAGCTGCTCCAAGGGCTGGAGCCCCTCAGCTCTGGAGCCAGGCTGGGAGAGCTGGGGGGGTTCACCTGGAGAAGAGAAGGGTCCAGGGAGACCTGAGAGCCCCTTGCAGGGTCTAAAGGGGCTCCAAGAGCTGGAGAGGGACTGGAGACAAGGGATGGAGGGACAGGACACAGGGAATGGCTTCTCATTGCCAGAGGGCAGGGATAGATGGGGAAGGAATCCTTGACTGTGAGGGTGGGGAGGGGCTGGGAAGGAATTCCCAGAGAAGCTGTGGCTGCCCCAACCCTGGGAGTGCCCAAGGCCAGGTTGCAGCAATGTGGTCTGTGGAAGGAGTCCCTGCCCATGGCAGGGGATGGCACTGGATGATCTCCAAGGTCCCTTCCCACCCAAACCATTCCATGTTCTTGCCATCTCTGGCAGCTCCAGCTCCGTCCCACCAGCAGCACTGGGGGTCTCAGACCCTCCTCAGCTCCAGCCCAGAGGCAGCTGAAAGACTTGGGATTAACCTGTCACTGGAATGGATTTAAATGCCAGGGAGTGGGGGGAGATGGGATTTTGGGAAGGGATTCTTCCCTGGGAGGGTGGGGAGTGGCTGGGATGGAGTTCCCAGAGAAGCTGTGGCTGCCCCATCCCTGGAAGTGTCCAAGGCCAGGTTGGAACAACCTGGGCTGGTGGAAGGTGTCCCTGCCCATGGCAGGGGTGGAATGGGATGATCCTTAAGATCCCTTCCAACCCAATCCATTCCATACCAGTGAGAATCATCCACATCCATCCTGACGTGATCTGATGCCACGTTTTGCACAAAACCATTTAATTTTTCCACCTGTGGAGAGCACAGCCAGAACAGGGGAGCATTCCAAAGGGGGAGTGTTATGATGATGATGATGATAATGAGAATAAATATAAACTCCTCTCTCCACTGATGGAGGCTGACGGGAGGCTGCTCTGCACCTGCTCCAGGATGAGATCCAGCTTCCCACTACACTCTCCTTGGATTGCCTGGAGCTGGGAACACTTGGAGCTGGAAGTGCCTGGAGCCAGGAACACTCGGAACTGGGAGCACTTAGTCCCAAATCCAACCCTAATCCTAACCCTTATCTTAGTCTCAGCCCAGGTTTGGACACACCTAGTCCTGTATTTAATCTTATCCCAGGCTCAAACCGAGCCCAACCACACCTCTAACCCTAATCCCATATTTAGCCTTGACCTCAGTCCCAGTTCTAACCCCAACCCCACCCCTAAACCAAATCCCACATTTGTTCCTAACTCCAACTCCAGCCCCAGTTCCAGCCCCAACCCCAGCCCTAACACCAATCCCACATTTACTCCTAACTCACACTCCAGCCTCAATTCTAGCCCCGATCCCAACCCCACCCCTCACCCTAATTCCACATTTAGCCTTGACCCCAATTCCAGTCCTAACCTCAGATTTAGCCCTAACTCCAATCCCAGCCCCAATTCCAGCTCTAACCCCAATCCCAACTCCATTCTAGCCCCGATCCCAACCCCAGCCCCAAACCTAATCCTACATTTAGCCCTAATTCCAATTCCAGCCCTAACCCTCTGTCACCTCAATCCCAGTTTAACCCCTTCCCCTCCCCAGCCCACCTCTGGCCCCGCCCCTCACCCACAAGCCACGCCCCCGGCCCCCAACCCTCCTCTTACGCACCCCCTCACCCGTGTTGCACCCCGCGGGTTCAGCCAATCAACGGCTCCTTGCCCTATTTAGGGCGGGAACCCGCGCGCTTCCCCACCAATCACACCGCCCTCCCCCTTCTCCCTCCGCCCAATCGCAGCGCGCAGCTCCCGCTCCGTCCCCACCCATTGGCTCCCGCCGGCGCGCGCGCTAGGGGGCGGGTCTTACCCCGCCTATATAGCAGGGCGGGTGGCGCGCGCCGCGCTCATACTGAGGTGGTGCCGCTTGGGTGTTTTTTGTTGCTGTTTCTGCTGCCGTTGCCATGGCAACCGCGCTCTGCCCCCTCCGCGCTCTCGGCCGCGCCGCTCTCAGACCTCGCGACCGCCGCCTGCACCTCAGCGCGCCCAGGTACCCCACGGGGAGGAGCGGGGGGCGGCTGGGCGGGAGGTGGGACAGAGGTGGTGGGAGCCCCGCCCGCCCGGTGCGGGCTGAGGAGGGGGCCGGGGTGATGGAACCCGCGCCGGGGGTCGCGGTCACCGGTCTCGCCCCGCAGCGGTGCCCGGGGAGCGGGGCAGATCCCCACCCCCAGCGGCCGCGCCGGGCGGTGCAGGCTGATGAAATCCCGCACCCGCCTTGCGTGGGGGTGCGGGGCTGGACACGGGTGTCCCCCGGGGTGCGGGGGATGGAGACCCCCCGGGCATCCCCCGGGACCAGAGGGGCAGAGCCCCCTGAGCATTCCCCAGGTCGGAGGGACAGAGACCCCTGAGCATCCCCCGGGCACTGGCCCTGGATTTAAACGGTATGAGAGGGACAGAGACCCCTCTCCCAGGGTGAGAGGGGTGGAGATCCTCCTCAGGCATCCCCTGAGAGAAAGACAAAGCCCCCTGAGCATTCCCTGGAGTGAGAGGAGCAGAGACCCCCCCGGAGATCCCACGGGTTAAAATGGACAGAGCCCCCCCCCCCAAGCATTCCCTGGGCACTGGACCTGGATTTAAACGGTGTGAGGGGAACAGAGACCCCCTGAGATCCCCCGGGGTGAGAGGGACAAAGGCTGCCCAGGTCAGAGGAACAGAGACCCCCGACCAGCCCACCCTGCTCCAAACAGGGCTCTGAGCTCCCTCTTTGTCCCCCTGTAGCTCCCCCGGGGGCTGCTGCTTCTCCCTCTCCCTGAGAGCCCAGAGCACCCCAATCTCGGGGAAGATCCAGGCAGGTTTTGCCTCTGATTTAAGGAATTTTCCCTTCCCTGGCTTGCCAGGCACTTGTCATAATTCCTTTTACATCCAATTCAGCATCTGGTAGTTTGGCACAGGTTTAGCTCTGGAGCTGGAACAAAAATTAGAGACCCAGTGGGCTGGGGCTGGTTGGTAAAAGGGTTTGACTGGGGTGGTTGCAGGTAGGGATGAAGTAACACTTAATTCCCAGTAAATGGGGAAAACTGCACGTTTGAGTAAGGCAGGGATTAAAGCACAAAAGCTCCTCTGCATCTCCAAAGAAGGATTTAAGGAAAAGGCTTCTCCTACCTGAGAAGGCTCCTGTGTGTCTGAAGCAGTTCTGGGAGTGGTTTTCCCTGGTTCCAACTACTCCCAGAGCTCCAAGATTGTACCTGGAAAAGGTCAGAGAACAGCACTGTTGGACTCAGTGCAGGATCCTAGTAGGAGAAGATCCATCCATGAGGCAGCTGATGGATTTTTGAGGAGAAACTGCAGCAATTCAGCTTTTTCTGGTGGATGCTGAGGTGCAGGGAGGGTGGGAATGTGCTCTTGGTGCTGTTGGGCTTTGTGGGTCAGCTGTCTCCTGGGTTCCTGGGGAAGGTGGAGTGGGTTGTGATGGAGATTGTCTGGAAATTGCTTCAGGAATGGGCTGGTTCCTGCAATTTGGGAAGGCACCAGCAATGCCAGGAATGCTGAGGAGCATCTGTGCCTGTTCTGGATCTGAGGGCAGGGAAATTGGGCAAGGGAGGTGCTGGTCAGGAGGCCTTGCAGAAAGACTTAAATCATGGAATATCCTGAGCTGGAAGGGACCCACAAGGATCATAGATCCAACTCCTGGTGGATCCTGCTCCCTGGGGTCCCTGAGCAGGAAGAGGCCTTGGAGACAGGAGTTTCCTGCAGTTTTAATGGGATTGGGAGCTCAGCAAAGCTGTTAAAGTTGGGGAGCACAGGGAGCTCTGCTGGCACAGGGTAGGTCTGGCCCCTGGCTGGTGCTGGGGAGGGAGGATGGGCAGAGATCCAGGGATGTGGGAGGGCTGGGAAAGGCTGAAAAGTCATTTCAGGAGTTGGAGTTTCTGCAGATAAAAAAACCCCAACCCTACAAAAAACAAAGTTCAAGGAGCATTTGGACATTGCTCTGAGCACAGGGTGGGGCTGTGCAGGGCCAGGAGCTGGATCAGTGATCCTAAGGGGTCCCTTCCAGCTCAGGATATTCTGTGTTTGTCTTGTTTGGTCCCAGCAAAGCTGTAAATGAGCCTGCAATGTGCTGCTTAACAAGATTTAACATCAAAGTGCAAAAAGCTTGTACAGAGCTCAAGGGAAAGAGCCTTTTCTCCCCTGGCTGTGGTTGGCTCCTGGTTTTCCTGTTCCATGTTGTACAAAGCTGGGAGCTGATGGTCCTGAGGATGCTGATGGTGACACTTGTTGCTCTGTTGGTCCCTGGCTCCTCTCAACCCCGCTCCCTGGGGCCTCTGAGCAGGAAGAGGCCTTGGAGACAAGAGTTTCCTGCGTTTTTAATGGAATTGGAAGCTCAGAAAGAGCCTTTTCTCCCCTGGCTGTGGTTGGCTCTCGGTTTTCCCGGTCCGTGTCGCACAAAGCTTGGGTGTGAAGGTCCTGAGGGTGCTGATGGTGTGGTGGCCCTTCCCCTGTTGCAGAGATGATGCTGTGGTGATCTCTGGGAGGAAGCTGGCCCGGCAGATCCGGCAGGAAGCCCGGCACGAGGTGGAGCAGTGGGTGGCAGCGGGGAACAAGAGGCCCCACCTGAGCGTGGTCCTGGTCGGGGACAACCCGGCCAGTCACTCCTACGTCCTCAACAAGACCAAGGCAGCGGCTGACGTGGGTATGGCTGGGGCTCCCTGCCCAAAACAGTGGGGTTTGGGTGGGAATCCTCCGGGCTGGAGGCTGGGGGAAGCTTTTTGGACTGAATCCATCTGGCAGCTTTCCACCTCTGTCCACCTTCACCTGGAATTTGGGTTCTTGTTATCCTGGGGTGGGAGAGCGTAGTGGGAAGCTGGATCTCATCCTGGAGCAGGTGCAGGGCAGCCTCCTGTCAGCCTCCATCAGTGGAGAGAGGAGTTTATATTTATTCTTATTATCATCACCATCATAACACTCCCCCTTTGGAATGCTCCCCTGTTCTGGCTGTGCTCTCCACAGGTGGAAAAATTAAATGGTTTTGTGCAAAACGTGGCATCAGATCACGTCAGGATGGATGTGGATGATTCTCACTGGTATGGAATGGATTGGGTTGGAAGGGATCTTAAGGATCATCCCATTCCACCTCTGCCATGGGCAGGGACATGTGCCATTGGGATCCTTCAGGACAACATCAAGCTCTGTGCTTGGGATTTTCAGCCTTCCCAGAGGCATAAAAAGCACAGGAAGGGCTTTTTGGCCTCCCTTCCTCACCTCGGGAGTCACTGTTCAGCCTCGCTGCTCTGACTCCTTCCCATCTTGCAATCCAAGGTCCTGCTCAGGGATGGGGGCAAGAAATGGTGTTATTTTAACTTGGGTTCTGCACTGCTGAGAGATTTTTTTGGATTGGAGATTTTTGGAGCTGAGATTTTTAAGCTGCCATCCCTTTCCTCCTGTGCCCAGAGGGCTCACAGGATGTGCAGTTTTATTTTCATCCTTGGCTGGGTTTCTCTAATCCCTCCCTGCACTGTGAGAAACTCAAACACTCTATCCCAGGTCATTAATCCCATATAATTGTCCTGGGAAGGCTTGGGAAGGTCTCTCCAGCCCAGAAGCTGCTCCTTATTGCCTAATCCATCCAGTCCTTGGTGTGCACTTCTGGGATTTGGTAGAGCAATGAAACAGGGGGGCTTAAATCCACAAAGATCAGGAAGGTTGCTGCCTTGTGCATAGCCTGGGCTCACTAATGAGGTGTTTGGGATGATTTCCAGGGATCAGCAGTGAGACCATCCTCAGACCAGCTTCCATCACTGAGGAGGAGCTGCTGGATTTGATCAGCAAACTCAACAACGATGCAAACGTGGATGGGCTGTTGGTGCAGCTCCCTCTGCCTGGTGAGGAGCTGAACTTCCACCTCTTTCTGTCCTACATGAAGTTTTTAAGGGTTTCCATGTGCTGGAAGGACAATCCTGTGCCACGAGAGGTGGGATCCTGCCCTGGTGGAGTTTAAAGATGTCCCTGCAGCTCCTCAGCACCATCTCCCTGCAGGAGTTTGGTTTCTGGGGGTCACAGGATCTATTCCTGTGCTGGGAGTATCAACTTGCAGTATCAGCTTGAACTCAGTTGTGGCCTTGAGGCTGCCTAAAAATACCCTCAGAGTGAGCAAGGCTGTAATTCCAAAGTGCTGTCAGTCCCTCTCTGCTGGGAGCTTTGAGCTGGAAGTGCTGAGGAGCCTCAAGCCTCCACATTGTGAAGGGGTTGGTGCTTCGGGGTCAGAGCTTGAGCCCGGGGCTGGGGCTCAGAACTAACTCGGGGTCAGAACCAGGTTTGGCTCAGGGCTGGGGCTCAGAACCAAGTCTGGCTCGGGGCTCAGAGTCAGAGCTGGTGCCCAGGGCTTGCTGGGGTGCCCAGCACAGTTGCAGGCTGAGCCCCCTCTCTGCCCCCAGGACACATCGACGAGCGCAGGGTCTGCAACGCCGTCAGCCCCGACAAGGACGTCGACGGGTTCCACGTCATCAACGTGGGCAGGCTGTGCCTGGACCAGGACTCCATGTTACCTGCAACCCCCTGGGGCGTCTGGGAGATCATCAAGAGAACTGGTAAGGTCACCAAGAGAGCTGGGAAGATCATCAAGAGAACGGGGAAGAGCTGCTCTGCTCCTGCAGGATGGGGCTCCTGTCCAGCAAAATTCCAGCTGATGTCTGGTTTAAGATTCCCAGCTGGACAACTGTGTTGTGTGGTGGGTGAGGAACTGGCTCATGGGTTGGGCACAAAGTCACAGGGACTGGGGTGGTGTCAGGCTGGCAC